ATATATATATACATACATATATATATACATACATATATATATACATATATATATATATACAGACTTGGGATCACATGAGATCAGCATGTTTTCGTGAGACCCGTGAAACCAGCTTTTTATACTTGAAACTTCACAGCAAAATGATGTGAAAGTAACCTTTACATTGTTTTTGCTGTGAAGGTTCGACTTTTTTAAACTTCCACAGTGTTTTTGCTATGAAGTTTCAAGTGTAGAAATGTGGTCTCACGGGTCTCACGAAAACAACCTGGTCTCACGTGAACCCAACCCTATATATACACCTATATATATATATATATATATATATATATATATACCTATATTATGAACATATAATTATTTACTTTTTTAAAACTTCAAATTTTCAAAAATACAAAAATTAAATCAGCATGTATTAATTAAAAATATATACATTATATTTAGATTTTATAATACTCATCAAATAAATTATATCAAATAAATTCACAATTTCATGGTTTCGTGAATGAAAAACCTCACGATTTCGTGGTTTCATTAACGAAAGAAACTCATGAGTTGATGGTTTAGTGGTCTTGTAAAGAAAAAAGGTTACAAATTCATCAAATAAATAAGTGTCATAATAAAGTAAATTTACATAAAAAAAATAGGGTATATTAATTAGATGATAACTACCATAAATATAAAAATAATCCGTTAAGAAGTAAAATGACAATCACACCCTTATAAATAAATAAAAAGAAAAAAACATTGAATAATTCTGACTGCCTGAAAAAGGGTTGCAAGTTTGTACAAATTTAATGGTTTGCATTTAATCCCTTCCCTCTATATCTATACTACCTTGTAAAACATATTTAACAAAGTCTTATAAACAACCCAAAATGCATAAGATACTGTTTTTTTATGCACAAAGTTTTAAAATCTCTTAGGCTGCATTTGGTACATGGGACAGGACATAACAGAACGGGACAAAAATCACGGTCCCACGATTGGCGGACCATGAGACAGAAAACAAGAGCTCATTGTCCCACATTTGGCGCGACATTAGACATTGAAAAGAACTAGGACAAGGTGAGACAAGAATGGACAAAAGAGACATTTTCTTAGGTGGAACAAGAAGGGATAAGTATAAGACAGAAACTAAAATATTACTAATCTACCATAGTTTGATATATTATCTTAATATGATATTTGTTTTAATGGTCAGTACAACTAGTTTCGGCCGCCTCTGTGATAATCGGCACCTGATTATTACCCAAGGTATTTATTATGTTAATTAATTGTATATATGGATACATGCTTACATGGGTTAAATACGTGAATATGTGTATTTTTATGCATATGGTTATATGCCTATTATAAAAGTGCTTATATATATATATACAAGTGAGGTTATGCATTCATGTAAAGTATGTGTATGCATGAAAATTTTATACATGCATGGGTAATTTATGTATGCATGAGTGTGCATGAGTTATATGTATGTGTGTATGATTTTTATGTGCAAGCATGTGGGGGTGAAGTGTAGCCGACTTTCCATGTAGGGAAAGTATAAATATAAGGGTTGAGTAATGAGGCAAGTTTTCTTGCCTCATTTGGAAAGCTTTGGGAGATTTAGAGAGAAATTGTCCGATGATCTTTTGGCCATTCATTCATCTTCTTCAAAATTTAGAATTTTCATAAGGTGGGTGATTTCTAAACCTCTTTTGTATAAAATTTGTTACTGGTTTTTATTTGAATGGTGCTTATTATTGGAAAGAAATCAGTTATCCGATTAAAGTTTTTATTTGGACAAGGGGTGACCGGATTAAGTCTAAACTGGACAAAGCTTGCCCGGATTACTCTTAAACCGGATAAGTGTTATCCGATTTATCTATAAATCGCTTAAGTCTTGTGCGATTTAAGGTGATAGTGACAATTTAAACTATGTAAACCGGACAAAGGCTTTGAACGGAGAAGTATGAATACGACCAAGCATGGAGCGGTTTAGTCTTAAATCGCCTAAGGGTCGTGCGGATTAGTCATAAATCGATCATATGCCAAGCGGTTTAGTCTTAAATCGCCTAAGGGTCATAGGAATTAGTTATAAACCGGCCATATGTTGTCCGGATTAGTAAATTGGACAAAAGGGACAAGTGTTGTCCGGATGGTATATCCGGATAACTTATCCGGTTAACTTATATTTGATAATTTTCAAATGTTGAATATTTTAGACATTTATATAATTTAAAAATGTCTATTATTGGGTTTAATTATGGATTTATAAAAGGGGTATTTTATATCTTTTTAAATAAAAAGATATGTTTCTACCAAGCGTGGTGACGTAAGTCTGTTTTCGTATGAAACTATATTTTGGGAAACCTTCCTACCAAGCGTGGTGACATAAGTCTGTTTTGGTATGGAAATTGGATTTTTGTAAACTGTTTCTACCAAGCGTGGTGACGCAAGTCTGTTTTGGTACGAAACTTGTTTTAAGAGGTAGTTCCCCCAGACATGGTGACTTTTATCTGTTCTGGCTTGGAACTAGGAATGGGTACTTTCAGACGTGGTGACTTTTGTCTGTTCTGGCTTGGAACTGGGAATGAGTACTTTCAGACGTGATGACTTTTGTCTGTTCTGATAAGTAGCCCTGTTTTTGTGGAGGAATAAGGGTGGCATATCAAGGAGATGTGTACTTGGAATAAGGGAGGCATTGTCATATGTGGATAGTATTATAACTCTTATTATTGTTACTAATTGGATTTAATAATTTTGAGTCATCATTTCTTTGTGACCTGATGAATTAGAAATATTATTCATATTAGAAATAATAATTTAGATGTTATTGAGAAGGGGAAAATGGTTTGTCATAAAGGGCAAGTATTGCCTTAAATCTTTCCATTAACTTTTACAGAGGAATTATGGTCATTTTAGTCTGATGATTCAAAGAAGCTTTGGTTACAATATTTTTCATATTGGGAACGTTGGATTTTTAAGCAGATATATTTTATTAATAAAACTGAGGTTCTTGAGTATATCCTATTTTTTGAGGACTGCATTATTTGAGTGTATCACAAATATTTCTGAGCAAAGATACTTTATTATATTTTGGTATTTATCATCCTGCATTTGCAAAAAGGGATTTACTCACTAGACCCTTCTGGTCTAACCCTCATTTTCTGTTTTAAAATTATGCAATGTAGGAATGGCGGGGTCCAGGGATAATAAGGAAAAAGGAAAAATGTGATTATTTTCCTAACCTGTTATCTGCTTTTGAAGATCTGCTTAAGATTGCTTACTTTGAAGATACATGTTGTATTATGTATGTTAGTACATGATTTGTTTTAGAATTTTTCATATGTAGATTTTGTACATATAAGAATCCTTGTACTAGTGGGACCTTGTGATGTAAACTATATTTTCATGTAATGAAATATGTGTTAAATGCAAATGTGGTATTTGGGGGTGTTACAGAAGTGGTATTAGAGCCTTAGTTTAAGAGATTTAGGTATTCAAAGCATGATGCCTAGACTTAAACTGTCATTTGCATGTTAAGAGTCTCGGACATAATTAGTATCACTGGGAATAAAATATAATGGGTTAAAGAGGTAGTATGTAAGATGAATTCGAATTACAAATGACTAATGTAATTATGAATTTACAGGTACATACCAATACTCAGATACCATATTATATTTGGGAATATGAATATGTGATATTTAATACTAAAATATCTACAGATGTCTAGTCGATCGCAAAGATCAGAAAGAATTGCCCGCCCTGAATCTGAAGAAAGGGAGGAATCTCCCGTTAATCCACTAACCTATGCTTCAAAGAATAGAGGTCGTGGAAGAGGTAGGGGTAGAGGTCGAGGAGGGAGTCAGATTCCTGAGAGGAGTCAGGCCGAGATTCGCCCTGATCAAGGGGAATCTATTTCTGGGAATGCTCATGAAGAACAGAGGCAACAACCAGAGTTTATTACCAGAGACGTTTTGGCAGAAGAAATGGGGAAACTGAGAGAAACCTTGATATCCATTATGRGACTRCCAGCTAGAGTAGAAACCGAGCGAGTTGAAATTAATCCTCCAGCTCCTTCAACAGGCAGCAATAATCGGACAGGGGATATAAAAATGTTTTTAACATGTAAACCTCCAACTTTTTCAGAAGAAAGATATCTAGTAAAAGCAATGTGCTGGATAAAAGATATTGAATCAGTATTCAACACTAGTAGATGCTCTGAGGATGATAAGGTTAGATTTGCAGTATCTATGCTCAAATCTAATGCCTTATATTGGTGGGATGTGGAGTGTTCGGCACAACCAAATATACTGCAAACCATGTCTTGGGAAGAATTTGTGAATAAATTTAAAACACAATTCTGTCCTACAACTGCAGTATGACAGATGGAAGAAGATTTTCTTAAACTGGAACAAGGGAGTAGATCTGTACGGGATTATACCGAGAAATTTATTGGGTATTCCTGTTTTGCAGAACATTACGTATCTTCGGAATCCCGAAAGGTGGAGAGGTATATTTGGGGTCTGAAACCTTCTATTCGGGAGTTCGTGATTGTTATGAATCCTGATACTTTCTCTTTAGCCGTCAATGC